AACCTCTTCCACAACTGGTTGGGTTTCTTCGATTTCAGCTTCAACTTTTTCGACCTCAGGCTTGCTGACTTCAATTTCAGCTTCAACCTCTTCCACAACTGGTTGGGTTTCTTCAATTTCAGCTTCAACCTCTTCCACAACTGGTTGGGTTTCTTCGATTTCAGCTTCAACTTTTTCGATCTCAGGTTTGCTGACTTCAATTTCAGTTTCAACCTCTTCCACAACTGTTTTAGAAACTTCGATTTCAGCTTCAACCTCTTCGATCTCAGGTTGGTCAACTTCGATTTCAGCTTCAACCTCTTCCACAACTGGTTGGGTAATTTCGATTTCAGCTTCAACTTCTTCAATCTCAGGTTTGCTGATTTCGATTTCAGCTTCAACCTCTTCCACTACTGGTTGGGTTACTTCAATTTCAGCTTCAACCTCTTCCACAACTGGTTTGGAAATTTCGATTTCAGCTTCAACCTCTTCCACAACTGGTTGGGTTTCTTCGATTTCAGCTTCAACTTCTTCGACCTCAGGCTTGCTGACTTCAATTTCAGCTTCAACCTCTTCCACAACTGGTTGGGTTTCTTCAATTTCAGCTTCAACCTCTTCCACAACTGGTTGGGTTTCTTCGATTTCAGCTTCAACCTCTTCCACAACTGGTTGGGTTTCTTCGATTTCAGCTTCAACTTTTTCGATCTCAGGTTTGCTGACTTCAATTTCAGTTTCAACCTCTTCCACAACTGTTTTAGAAACTTCGATTTCAGCTTCAACCTCTTCGATCTCAGGTTGGTCAACTTCGATTTCAGCTTCAACCTCTTCCACAACTGGTTGGGTAATTTCGATTTCAGCTTCAACTTCTTCAATCTCAGGTTTGCTGATTTCGATTTCAGCTTCAACCTCTTCCACTACTGGTTGGGTTACTTCAATTTCAGCTTCAACCTCTTCCACAACCGGTTTGGAAATTTCGATTTCAGCTTCAACCTCTTCGATCTCAGGTTGGTCAACTTCGATTTCAGCTTCAACCTCTTCCACAACTGGTTGGGTAATTTCGATTTCAGCTTCAACTTCTTCAATCTCAGGTTTGCTGATTTCGATTTCAGCTTCAACCTCTTCCACTACTGGTTGGGTTACTTCAATTTCAGCTTCAACCTCTTCCACAACTGGTTTGGAAATTTCGATTTCAGCTTCAACCTCTTCCACAACTGGTTGGGTTTCTTCGATTTCAGCTTCAACCTCTTCCACAACTGGTTGGGTTTCTTCAATTTCAGCTTCAACCTCTTCCACAACTGGTTGGGTTTCTTCGATTTCAGCTTCAACCTCTTCCACAACCGGTTTGGAAATTTCGATTTCAGCTTCAACCTCTTCGATCTCAGGTTGGTCAACTTCAATTTCAGCTTCAACCTCTTCCACAACTGGTTTGGAAATTTCGATTTCAGCTTCAACTTCTTCGATCTCAGGTTTGCTGACTTCTATTTCAGCTTCAACCTTTTCGATTTCCGGTTTGCTGACTTCAATTTCATCTTCAATTTCTTCAATTACCGGTTGAGAGACTTCAATTTCAGCTTCAGCCTCTTCCACAACAGGTTTGGAATCTTGGGCACTCCCTGACACAGCATCTTCTTCCACGGGCTCGACCTTGACCTGCTCCGATGTGATGGATGGCTGTTCCTTCAAAAGCTGATCTACGGTCTCCTCAAACGCAGAATAGTCCTCGGGGATTTCCTCTATCTCCTCAGCCTTCTCGGGAGACACATCCTCTTGTTGGATGTCTACTTGAATTGTCTCTGTCACATCCTCCGCTTTGTCTATGGACTCTTCTGTTTCTCTCACGTCAAGAACAACCGACTCCACTGGACCTTCAGTTTCATCTACTGTTTCCTCCTTCTCTTCATCTACAACAGGGACCTCAGCGTCTTCAGTCTCTGGCTGGGAGTCTTCCACGCCAGACGGGGCGAGCTGCTGGACGTCATTGGCCGCCTCGCGCGCGGCATCGGCGACAACTCTCTCGGCGTACGCTTCAATCTCATCTGATACAGGCACGACAGCCTCGTCCTCTTGCTCCACACTCGAGACTTCTTCAACGTCCTTCTCCTCGACCACAGTCTCGACAGTCACTGTCTCGGGCTTGCTGGACTCGGGTTCGACCGATTCGGGTTCGGTGGACTCGGGTTCGTCCTCGCGCCGGGCCTCCTCGCCCTCAGTTGCCTCCTCGGGAACCACTTCCTCTTGTGACGTCACCTCCTCGTCTTTGCCAACTTCTACCACGGAAACCACAGACTCTACGCTAACCTCGGCCGGCGTCTGCTCTTCCTCCACCTCGTCTGTCACCTCCACTGCAGTCTTCTCAGGGACTTCATCTTCAACAACCTGTACAACCTCTTCCGGAGATTGCTCGGGTATGTCTTCATCGATCTTCTCGTCAGATGGAATTTCCATCTGCACCGAAACTAGTTCGGGAACTCCCGAAGGTACGTCAGGTTGGAAGTCCAGCTGTATCTCCGTGGCGTGTCTTTGCTCCGTGTCCTGGCCCACTTCCTCCACATCTTCTCGCTCCGGCCGTTCCTTCAACAGAGTCATCAATGTATTTAGACAGTGGTGAGTCTCACTCGAGCTGCAGCACGTGTTAGCCGTGAGCCGTGCCGTGTGAGTGAGGCGCCCTCTGGCGACAAACCTGTCAGTTGTAGCAGCCACAGCCTCAGCAAGGACAGCCGCGCCGGGGCGCTGACTGTGGTTACGACCGTGCAGGGAGCTACAACAAGCGGGGGGCATGCAAGCGGGGGGCGGGGGGAGCGTGCGGCGGGCATGCGGGGCAAGCTGCCATGAGAGAAGGCAAAATGAAAAGGGCAAAGGTTAGAGCGGGGTTAGATAACATGAACATCTCTGCCAGCCGTGAAAACATAAAGCGTTTTGTCTGGGGTATAGACATCAAAGTGATGTCAAGAATAATTATATCAGAATGTTTGAACTTAGACACGATGTCCAGAACATGATCAGAAGTTTTAACAGTTAACTTCTGGCCATTGTCCTTGTTTGTGAACTGGCAAACCATGAATGTGGTTACCACAAGGAACGGTAGAGGTTTTTTCGTAAAAAATTTTTGGCAATCGACAAAATTTCGCTTCCGCTTCACATGCTGGCAAATAATGAAAAAGGGAAATACCATCCCGAGTCTAATATGAATATACAAAATTAGGAACATGAGCAGCTTTCAATCCGATTTTGGGGGGTGGGCGGGGCGAGGCAGTAGACATTACAACCATATACCCTTTTCTTTACACATGGCCCCATGTTTGATCCCTATGGAAATACCTTACACATGGCCCCATGTTTGATCCCTATAGAAATACCTTACACATGGCCCCATGTTTGATCCCTATGGAAATACCTTACACATGGCCCCATGTTTGATCCCTATAGAAATACCTTACACATGGCCCCATGTTTGATCCCTATAGAAATACCTTACACATGGCCCCATGTTTGATCCCTATAGAAATACCTTACTCATGGCCCCATGTTTGATCCCTATAGAAATACCTTACACATGGCCCCATGTTTGATCCCTATAGAAATACCTTACACATAGCACCATGTTTAATCCCTACTGAAATGCCAAGTCTTTGCCTTGAGGTCTACTACATAGGGGTACAGAAGAATGGAGAAACAGGAAGAAACACATTGATACTTATATTATTGTAATGTTTAAAGATAAACGATATACACAAAACTGAGTGAAAGCCGCAATGTCAGTATGAAGCAAGTTTGAATGAAAATGGAAAACAAATGAAACGGCGTTAAAGTGACGCAGTTATGAGATATAAAAAGATTGCACGTCCTTTGGCAAGTGGATAGGAACTTCTTAGTCATATTTACATTCATTGGAATAGTCTTCTTAATTGTAACAATTGCCGAATAACCTTCTCCATGTCTTTGTCAAAACATAAGCAAATACTCCCAATTTTAAGAAATATATAATTTTCCCACAATTCCAACAGGCCCGTTACCAAACAGTCTTTGCTAAAACATGCCTAGCATTCTGTTACCTTTCTTTTCCCCAATAAAAGACACCCTTATTTGATTAACAAATAAAAACTTTCGTACAACATTCCCTCACAATGCAATAGACGCTCCCCCCTCCCCGCAACTTTAAATCATCGTGAGATTATTTTAAAAAACAAAAGCACTTGCCAAAGGAACGTGCCCCAAGCCCCAAATAAAATGGAAAAAAGTGTGTACACGCATAAAGTGCAGTGCTTAAAACGTGTAAACGTGGTGTAGTGTAGAATATAGGTCACAGAACACAAAGAACTCTTGGAGGAAGAATGAAACACATGGAAAATGACGGCCATTGAAACACAAACTAAACGGTTGACGATTTTTTAAAAACTGTCTTTGAAGGAAGATAAATCAGACAATGTTGTAGGAAGAAACGGCCGTCTTAAAGATCTTGAACTTTGCCCCACCCAGGAGATACCCACGTTTTTACAAAGAAGGAACAAGTCCAAGAGTACTCTGCTTACAATAAATATTTCCTCCATAAAAAAAGTATTCAAGAATCTATTTTGTCTGCATTACATAGCAGATGGCGAAATCTGACATGCTCGATACGATAACATAATGTGTAATGGGAAATGCTTCTCGATTAGGAAGAGCAAACAGAGCGTGGTAATTAATACATAATATTATTATGTTGTTTTATTTCTCGTCAGTCAAGGCAGCTGAAAGCGCATTACAAGTATGAAAAGCAACATGGCTTGATATAGATATGTCAGGCCATCAAACAGTATAAGAATTATTTCATGATAGCAAAAGCTGAGCTGAAGAAGCCAATAATATAATCATTGGTCCTAGTTTAATAGATTGAGAGCATCAGTGGTATGAGTACTTAATATGGTCAAAGATTATGTCAATGCGCGAAGCGAACATCCCCAGACATGAGTACCGTATTATTCACACATCATAGTATAGAGTCATAGTATAGATAGGTCGGAATGTCGTCAGAAGAGCAAGAAAAATGTTCACAATTCACACGGACAGTCCAGAGTAAGTGGACCTGTGTGGCAGTGCTGTGGTGTGTCGTATGAGTGACATACACACATGTGCGAAATGTCGGTGTGCAACACTCAGTGTGAGCTGCACACGTGCAGGTGTGTGCTATACAGAAGCTGTAGGTGTACTGCATTTGGGGGGGGGGGGATTGTGAGCTGCACTCAGGTGTGTGCGTGCGTGTGTGTACTGCACTCATGTGCAGGTGTACTGCTCGTATGTGCAACTGCACTGCACTCTGGCGTGGTTATGTATAGGCCTAGAGCAATAGCACACATGTTGTACCTTCAAGTGTGCACGTTAGCCAGTCAACCCTAGCACACTTTGATGCACCGGCGTGTGTGTTTGAGTGTGTAGCACACTGTGTCGTGCGTGTAGTGTTACTGTCAAGTGACACAGTAATCCAACATCAGAGCGTGTAGTAGTGTGTAGCACACTGTGTCGTGCGCGTAGTGTTACTGTCAAGTGACACATTGATCCAACATCAGAGCGTGTAGTAGTGTGAGCACATTAGAGCCACTCTCAACACACAAACCCAAAATAGGCGTAAATCAATTCTAGCAATATCATACCATGCTAGAATTTCACCATAACTAGAAAAAATAAACTTAAGTAACAGAACATTACGCTATAACATATCACACAAATTCATCAATTCATGAAAATGGATAAATAGAGTGTCGAACTGACAAATCAGTAAGGAATGGTGAGACTGTCCAGGAATACTCAAAGAAGTTTAGATCAACGTACAGTTAAGTCCCTTCTTTCCAGTACCTTCTCAGGCTTGCTCATGTCTTCTTTGCACTTCCCAAGACACAAGTCAGAATCTCTTACTTTAAATGGTCACTTTTAAGCACAAGGAGGCTTGTGGTTACGACC